GGGGCTTTAGACGACGAGCCACAGTCCTGAGGTGCCGAGGACGCGAGTGAAGCTGTGAGGGGCCCCGCGGGCCCCGCGCCGCCCGCCGAGCGAGGTTCCCGGGTCATCGGTAACAGGTCCCAGCTCTGATCTTCCGTCTTGTCTCCGGAGAAGGAAGAACCGCTGCGACCCGCGCCGTTTCACGAGTCAGACGTCGCCGGAAGGAAGGGAAGGGCCACCTGCACAGAGGCGCGGCCGCCTCCGCCACGCAGACCTCCAGGCAGCGCGGAGCCCGCGGTGCCCGCACAGGGAGGCGACGCCGGGAAGAGGCCCCGACTCGTCACGCCCGCCTTCTGGATTTCCAGGACGCGCCGCCCCCCAACTTGCTTTAAGCCCTCGCCCCGCTGGGAGCTGCAGACCCAGACCCCTCACTGTGCCACCTGACCCCGGCCTGCGGTTCGTCGCTGCGGTCACCTTCTCTCCTGTGGGGCAGCTGATAGCTGCGGAGGGGCCGGGCCGCCCCCCACTCCCACGCAGCCCCGGCCCGGGCCCCCGGCAGTGACTTTACTCCTGGCTTCCGCTTTAGAGCCGTCAGCGCACTGACCAACCCCGCCCCGTCCTCCGCCCAGCAGAGCCGCCGTCTTCCCTCCTCCCTTCCCTCCTCCTCTTAAAAGATTGTCATTTTTTTCTTCTCCACTCCAAAATTCATTAGCATGCAAACATACCGTAATTTCTCCAATCTTGAAACTAAACAGCCCACCGTCCCCCTCCCTGCCCCCACCCCTCACGTCCCATGGGAGCCGTCGCCTTGAGACGCTGGTCACAGCAGCTTCCAAGTTTTGCTAAAATCACAGGTCACTGCTTCTCTGCCACAGTCAACAGTCAATTCCGTGACCAAGGCGTTAAAAACTCTGATTTCTGGCCTCACTGGCTGGTCCAGAACCCCACGCCTCCTCTCTAGGTTCATTTTCATCTTCGCGCCCTTTGTTCTCTCTGCGAGGATCTGTGGGTGTGAACCCCTTGTGCCCTGTGGGTGCAGACATACCTTTTAGAGGGGTCTTTACCGTTCCAGCTGCAGTCACGCACTCGGGGGGCACACGGGCCAGCTGGCGCCATTTAACAGGACCACTGCTGTTTATTCAGACACACGTATGCTACTCCTGTCTTCGCTCTCATTTAACGAATCCAGTAGCAAACCCTGCACACTGCCTCTCGCCTTGTCACTTCATGATACATCTGGATATTCCTCCAGGGATTTCTGAAGGGCACCCCTCAATCCGGCAGACAAATGCAGCCTTCTAAGGGGTGAACGCACCTGACTTCATTTAGCCAGCGTCCTACTAACGGAAATTCAGACTTGCAGATCTCTTTTATTCTGGATGAGGCTGTAATGAATGACCTTGAACACACCCCTTCCTGCACAGGTAACTTCAGCTACAGGTGAGTTGCTACAGGTGTGATCCTGAGTCCCACAGGCACACTCCTAATCTGGATGGGTGTCCTCAGACGCCGTTCATAAGACCATATGGAGTTACACTCCACACGGCTGTGCCTGGGTGCTTGCCCACCATTCTCGACAGTGTCAACAAATTTTTGATCTCTGACAATCTGCCACGTGAACAATGTGATCCCTCGTCTGTGCTTCTTTTGCTATGGACAGATCCAACACATTTTTTTTTATGCTGACAGAGCCACCGTGCAATTTTTCTGCAAAATGCCTGTGACTCTCCTGTACCAATTTCTCTTACAAGTTATGTCATTTTCTTATTAGCATATGAGCTCTTTACATATGAAGGAAACGAACCCTTGTCAGCACCAAAGCGTTGTCATATCTTTTTCAGTTTACTGTTTGCATTTTGACTTTGCTAGTTTTTTTTTTTTTTGCCATGCAGAATTTTCTGATTTATAAAGTATAATTATCAATCTTTTATTTTACACCTCTGGGTTATGTATGAAACTCTAAAGGGGAAAAGCTCCCCAGTTTCTTCTAATACCTTATGGTTTCAATATTTTAGACTTAAATTCTGACTCCTCTTGAATCCAGCTTGAGGAAAGTGTGGCTCCGATTTATTTTTTCCCAGGCGCCCCCTATTTAGGACGTTGCCCACAACTGCTGATCCGTTCCTTGGCTGCAGGGACAAGTCCAGACTGGTGCCGGCCAGCAGAACTTGTTATCAACAAGAAAATGTCCTCTACCTGTGCGCCCCGCCCACTGGCCCTGGGTCCAGCCTGCTTTTTTTTTTGAGTTTTCAATTGTAATTTTATGTTTTAAATCTAAATGGCCACGTGTGGATTGTGGCTGCAGATCAACAACCGACTGGCTGAAAGATGCCACCCCGTGTCACTGCCTCCCGCGGCCGGAGCAAGTCAGCTGCTCTGCGGCCAGCCCAGTGCAGGCCGCCTGACCTCTCCGCCGCTTCCGACCCGGTGTTCCAGTGCGGGTTCGCTTTCATTTATCCTGCTGGCCACTCAGAGTACACTTCCGTCTGAGAACTCTCTTCCGGAAAGTTGTCACACGCTCTGTCTCAGATTTCAAGAGGATGGAAGTTCAATGCAGTTCACCACAGACGCGCCTGCGCATGCTGCTCACCACGCCAGGCGGTGCTCATGTCACTTGGCTTGGCACAACGCGGACACAGATGAGAAGGCGAGCAGACACAATCTGCGGGTCCTGGGTACCTCACTGCAGCTGGGGGGCCCAGCCCCAGCGCGCGGCCCCTCTGCGCAGGCGCACGGTGCCGCTGCCCTTCCGCCCGCAGGCTGAGCGCCCCGGGCCACGCACTCTGTGTTCCATTTGTCTGTGCCCAAATCCTTTTTTCTTAAGAGAAATTATGCCATTTTTGATGTCCTGCATACGCTTTTGCTTGGGAGATAGAAGTTTCTCGCCAGTGGTCCGGCCAGCGGGCCTTCAGGCCTCACCTCTCTCCACCTGCAGGTAAAGTCGGCGCGGGTCTCACCCCCCAGCGCGCCATCAGGAGCGCCTGTCTGCCCACTGCTGCCCGCCGGTCTGCCCAGGACCAGCGGCCACCCTGACGCCGCCCGAGCGAGCCCGGAGGCAGACCCCAACCTTCCGCCCCAGCCCGGCCAGAGAGTCCTCACTGGGACCGGCCCGCCCTTGCTCCCCGCAGTCTGCCTGTCCCCAGTGAGTGCCCCGTCTAATGAGGCTTCTGTGACCCCACGGCTGAGTCAGCTCCGGCCCCTTCTCAGCGGCTGCGGTCGGCTGAACGGGCCCCATGCCGGGCATCTGAAGCCAGGGCCCAGCAGGCTGCACTAGACGGGGACCAGACGGGATCCGTGTCCTTGGCAGGAGAGACCACCACAGCCCTGTCTGCCGTGTGCGGGGGCGCGTCTGGGCGCAGAACCCCGCGCCTGGCCTGGGCCTCCCTCCACCCGGGGTCAGCATCTGCGTTCCCACCCACGTCAGTCACCCAGCTGCCTGAGGCGGGAGACTGCGTCTGCGCTCCCCTGTGCAGACATCCTCTCATATTCTGTAGTTATTTATTCACATGCTTGTGTCCCCAAGGAGGATGTGAGCCCCATGGTGGCAGGAGGTTCAGTTTCACCACTGTCATCAGCAATCGGCTGCCATCTGACATGCTCATGGATAAGAGGCTTCTAGATGCTGACCCCTGGTGACTCTGCAGCTCTGGTTCAACTGTCTCACAGAGGAACTGCCCATCGTGTCACGGAGGGACTGTCCATCGTGTGTCACGGAGGAACTGCCCATTGTGCAGAGGATCCAGCAACGAGCTGTTCATCTTCTGGGAAACAAGCCCGAAGTCTGTAGAGACTAGTTTTTGACGGAGAAGTGTCTTCCCCACACAAAGCTCCCGCTGCCTCATCATCCGCCCGCCTTCCCGGTGGTCGGGTCAGAACAGGGAAGAAGATGCACATAGACCCTAAAAACAAAATTTCTCAAAGGATTAAGAATGTTGGTTCAGTACAATTTTGAGAAAAACAGGAAATTACAGGGACGCCTGCTTCCCGTGCGGAACGGCACGTCCGCTGTGCTGACGCGAACGGCACCCACCTTCATAGTGGGCCAGACGGGTGTCAGCTTGGCCAGCTCGGGCCCCGTAACGAAGCGGCACATTCTGGGGCTTCAACAACAGATACCGTCTCCCAGTCCTGGAGGCCGGAGTCTGAGATCCAGGTGTGGGCCGGCTGGGTCCTCCCGTGGCCTCTCCTGGGCAGACACTGTCCTCACCTGGTCGTCCCTCTGTGTGTGTCTGTGTCCTCATCGCCTCTTCATGCTGGATCAGGGCCCAGCCTAATGGCCTCGTTCCACCTTAATTGCCTCTTTAAGCCCCATCTCTACCTAGTCACAGTCTGAGGTGCTGGCGGTGAGGACTTCAGTGTCCACTGCCTTCCAGGTCAGACAGGCTTTGTGGGCTCACCTGGAAATGTTGTGGCCGAGACCGGCGCTGCCCCTGTGTGGCCTGTGTGCTGAGTCAGTGGGGCTGGGACTGGTGGGCCTCCTGGGTCTGCCTGTCCGGATCCCGCCAGGATGCGTGAAGGCACGTGAACACGAGGGGACTAACCTGTCTCTTTTCTCAAGGTGACTCAGGGGGCCAGCAGGAGAGAGACCAGCTCAGGAACAGAATCGCATGGAACACGTGCCAGAGAGGGACCATAGAGAGATGGAAATGGTCCCGAGAAAGGGTGCCCGGGACTCTGAGCACCTGTGTATCCACCTGGGACTCGAGGGCCCCCCGCTGCTGCTGAGCTTACGTGGCCTCCCCTGTGTCTCCCAGGGGAGGCCCTCACTAGGCTGAGCTGCTGGGGTACTAGAGTGCGTGAGCTTCCCCTGCAGGCCACTCGAGGGCCTCAGCTGAGGACGACACACCAGGGAGGCCAAAGTGGGAGACACGTCAGGAGCCTGTCCTGGTGGACGCAGCTAAACGGGCCAGTGAGCAGGACAGAGTGACAGCAGCCAAGGGGGAGGCCTCACCTGCAGCCCAGAGTGCACGAATGGGCAGCAGCGCCCCGACCCGGCCTCTGGCTAGGGGGTTCCCGACCAGCTCCCACCCTGCTTCAGTGTGCGTCCGCTCACCGGGCACGTGCAGAACGGGACCTGGCAGGAGCCGCCGCCAGCAGCAGCGAGGCTCAGAGCCCGGGCTCTCCGGGCGAGCAGACGGTGCTGTGCTGCCTCCCGCCCCTTACCTGTTGGTGGGGGGCTGCACCCGCATCGCTCTGCCTCAGCTGCCGCCTTCTCGCCCTCGGGGGGGTTCTCGGAGGCTGGCGTCGAGGGCGCCCTCGTTTCCTGGCCACGTGGAACACGAGGGAAAAGTCTCTGCAGCACTTTCTCAGCGAACACTGAAAGGCAAGCAGCTGTCAGGGGGAGGAGGAGGGGAGCAGCGGGGAGGGGACCGGGAGCGGGGAGGGGCACTCACAGCAGCTTTACTTAAACTGCACATATGGTTCACTTAAAACAAAGACCTTCTGATATTACCTCCTGCGAACGAAGTGACTCGCCCGAGGGCTCCCCCCCCCATACCACCCCCCACGGGACCTCCTGGCCGCCTGCAGCTGACTGCCTCCTGGAGGCCCATGGCCATGCTGGGGCTGCCGGCTGGTGAGTGCAGCGGTGGAGCCAGCCCTGGAGGGGGCGGGCCTGCGTCTGGTGACAGAGACTCGTGGGTGTCTGCATTTGGGCCACACCTGCTCCGCCCTTCCCTAACGCCCTCCTCTCTGGTTGAAGTCTGTAAGGCACAGGCTGTGAGCCTGTTTCAGAACTGGGGTTGGGGCCCTGGGTCCCGAGGGCACTGGGGCCAGGACGGGTCCATGTGCAGTTCAGAAGACGAGGCCCCGTGTGGCCGGGCAGACCAAGCGGGCGTGACTGGACCGGCTGGCAGTGGAGGTGGCCAGCTGGGAGCAAAGCACAGACGGTGCAGCCGCCTCCACCTGTGCTCCCCGCACGGGGCCCACACTGACGCCTGCCATCAGGGGACCAGCCCTCCTCTCCAGCAGGGCCCTCATGAGGCGTGCGGACTTGCCACTCTGGTTCTCAGGCGGCGCTCTGCTGTCGCTGGAGGCTGAACGCCGTCCTAACGAATCGGTATTTCCGGGCAGATGGGAGTGGGATGAGGAACAGGTACGACTCTCCACACGGCATCGCACAGAAGGTGAGGGGGAGACGCAATGCGCCCATTTCAGCCTCGTTACTCAGAAACACGGCCAGAAGGCGCCGCCGTGGAGTGAGCAAGTCCCGCGGTGGGCAGCCAGGGCTGGGGCACGAGACGCCACCGAGGGCAGCGCGGACAGGTACCAATCCAGGTACCAATCGAGAGATTAAGTCTCCTTGTTGCGGAATTAAGTTATGTTTACATAGCTTTCAGAGAAGACTGCCTAAACTTACCATTTCAATTTGAAGACACAAGCCAAATAAAAACAAATTTTCAGTAAAGTGTTCTTTGGAAATCAGACACCTAGGAAGAACTGTAAATATGTAAACCTCGAAAGGAAACAGCTTGATTGCTAGTGGTGAAGCTATTCACTTCTAAAATCCTCCACGCAGTTACTTGATTTAAAATCTAACAGGTACGAATAAGGAAGGTTTGCTCTGCCCAGGGGCGTGGTGACAAGCCCTGACACAGTCAAGGGGGGAAGGCACACCCTGGGGGAGGGGCGCCGCTCCCTCCAGCTCAGTCACAGCCCAAAGTCTCTTGATCAGGGAAACTGGGAGTGCAGCCATCTGGAAAGTCTCTGACGGAAAAGGGAAATAGGATCTTTTTCTTCTATCACTTTCCGCTCTGAAAAAAGCAAAGGAAGATGAAAAATATTCGGCAGAAAACAAGCGCCTTGTGACCTTGGAGGCCACTGACTGAGTTACCCCAGGAAGTCACGTTCTTTCCTGTAGAAAGTCCACTTGGACGGCACAGGAAGATGCGCTCCACTCGATATCTGTGTATGTGACACACTTTATTTAAAATTGGGGTAAACTACGCATTTCTGTTTACTAAAGATGCACTGCACTTCTAGAGAGCTTTCTGGTAAAGGACGAGACTGGAAACGAAGTCCGTTCATTTGTGATTCTGTAGCCAAATATTTCAAAGCTTTTCTTCCCATCCCTATGAGCATGGGTCTCAGAGGACAAAAAAACACGTGCAGAACTGCTGTGGGGTCATGGGGAGTGAAACGAGCTCCAAACTGTATCGCAAGGGGCGGTGTCAGCGGAGCAGCGAGACCCAGCTGACCCACGCTCACAGGGAGTATGTGACGACAAAAGGCTGCAGACGCTTATGAATAACTTCCACACGTGACTTCTTGGTACTTCATTTTGAGAGAAAAACACGTAGAAGAAATAGGCTTATCACACTCCTTTTTAGAGTTCCCAATTAACAACAGACTTACAAATGGAAAAGTGATATTATCTAGAATTTGAAATAGGACTTGGCTTTTTGAAACCATATTTAAAGAAAAAACTGCTACTTAAAATAAGACCAGAAACAAACATTAACAGAAAGTTTTACCACCGCCAACTGTATGGTGTCCCCTCCTCAGCTCAGCCTGGAAAATCGGAGGATCTTCCCAGACCTGCATGGAACCACGCACACAGCACACACACACGTACACGGGCGCGCACACGCACACACCCCCAACCGCTCGTGGTTTTAAAGGTGACAGGGATGTGCCTGTCTCGGTCAGCGCTGGCCCAGTGCCTCCTTTCTGCACCCGGACATCTGTGCATCTCGTTTTAGCAGCCACTTCAAATTCAAATTTTCTGAGGGTTACTGTATTTTTTAGAATCTGATATTTTGAATTTTCTCTTTTCCCGCCCCGAGCATCTGCCTGCCTATCCATAGTTTTCTCAAAAACGATATTCAATATATATTTTTACATTTTATCACTTTAATGAGACACAGTATTTAACCTTCATCTATAATGTAAGAATAAAAGAATGATGGACGATATCACCACACCACTTCATGAGAAAGAAGTTTAGGGTAGTACGCTAATTCAGTAAATGACAGTTTCGTAATAGAATTATAAATGGAAAAATAATTAGTTAAGGTTTAAGCAAGAGTTGGCCAACTTCCCAAAATATTAATTAAAGAAAATTAGTACTCAGATGGGACATCACTAGAATTCTACACCATGACCACCGGATGTGGTGGCCCTATCTAAGGAGCAGTTATACACCAAACGGTCATTTTCTCCCCAAATTGTAACACTTAAAGAAAAAGTATTCTGAACTCTGTCCAGAATGTTCCCTTGTAGGGTTTTGTAGCAGCACTTACTGTACCATTCACACATACACACAGAGACACACACACATGCACGAGCACAGAGAGACACACTCACAGACACAAATGGAGAGCCTGTCCCACCACCTCCGCTTCGGGGACGCAGAGATTACCACAGCAAGGGCTGTGCACACGAGAGCCTCACTGTCGGAGGACAGGGCTCAGCCCGCTGGAGCCGAGGCCCGGGGCCAGGCCCGAGCTCATCCGAGGGCCTTGGAGGGCCAGGCGGCTCAGCTGCCCGTAATCCTTACTGCCACACACGCCTGGCTCCCAGGAGGGGGCACCCAGAAGACCTAGCCTGGTTGTCCGGCGGGAAGGGGGCACTGCAGGAGCAAGTTACTCAAAAGCGGCCGGACACTCGGCCTACGGCACGCACTCCCTTCACCGAGCAGCTAAAGGGCCACAGTTACATGTCAGAGTCTCACCTAATGTCCCCAAGTAGGAAGGAAGCCACGGCACTACCCCTCAGAATAGGGGCTCTTCACGGGGGTCCCTTTGGTCCCTTCCCCAAGTAGGAAGGAAGCCACTGCACTACACCTCAGAATAGGGGCTCTTCACGGGGGTCCCTCAGGGCTGCCTCTGTCACAGAGGCTCACAGAGGCTCACCCAAGTCTGGCCCAAGAGACAGCCTCCAGAACTGGTGATAGTGTCCCAGTGTGAAATAGAGTGCATTTGAAAAAAAATTTACTTCTTACTCAAGGAGTGTTGCCGCAAAACACGCTCCCTGTTAACCCTGAAGTTTTGCTACAAGTTGTCACGGGGCAGCTGGCCACGTCACCTGGCACAGGCCGTCACTTTCAGACTGACTGCCGACCCCTGAGTTCACGCTTCCTTGTCTGGGCCAGAGCTGAGCTTGTCTGTGGGTTTTAAAATGCAATCGGCATGGCTCCGGAGATGCAATCGGGCCTCCAGCAAAAGGGACCGGCCTGGACCGCCGCGCAGCACCCCAGTGCCACAGAAAGCGCCAGTCAGCTCGGGAGACGCCCAATTAACACCTGCTGCATGGGTGAGTGCTGAGCCGGAGGTCTCCATGTGGCCTACCTCCTGCGAGCGATGCCACACTCACGTCCCCTCCACAGATGCACAGATGGCCCCCCAGTGCCCTCCTGCCACTCTGCGACCTGACGCTCCTGCAGAGCAGTAGACTGTGAGGACGAGGGATGCCAGGGCACATCGGCACCACGCCACCGTCCTGTCCACCTGTCACACAGTGCCGATTGTGCCACTCAACACAAGGCACACAGTGAAAACTGAGGACAGGGGACACTCTGGTTTCACGCTTCAACAACTTCTAAGTGCTTGGAAGCTTGTCCGAGGCAACCTCCCTGGAGCCTTGCCCAGCATAGGGGCCCTTCGCTGGCCTCGTTAAGAGATGTGTGACACTAGCATTTTGTCATTAACCCACCCTTCCAAACACAATGTTCTGAAATGACTTAACTTTACTTGACTATTTTGTCCCATTTCCAACAGAAAAAGGAGGCTGATTTCAGGAAGGATGTCTCCTGACCGGTGAAAACAGTGAAAAGGTTTCATTCGTCGTAATTCAGTTAACTGAGAGGCTCTACGAAGTAGACTGGTGTATTACAGATGACGTAGTAATTCCTCGCACAGGGAGGAGCATTTAATGTCAGGCTTAGAAGGGTCAGGAACAGGACAGAGCAAGAGAAAGAATGCGCTGTAAAGCAAGGACAAGCCTGGGGTGAAGAGACGGGATCCCCCAGACAAAGCGCAGGGAAGCAGAAGGGGGCTGGCCCGTCACACGGAGACCTCTGTGACAGGCCCCGCAGTCAGGCCTGCCCCGAGACCCTCAGCATTTAATTGTCAAGCCTGCCGATCCTACACACAGTGGGGATATAAAAATGTAGTTTGGGTTCTCACTAAAATCCCTCCATGTGCTTTCGGGGGTCTGATGGTGGAACGTGAGGACCCGCGCAATGCCTGCCGTTTACAGAGCTGACGGCGAAAGGCGTAACTGGGCGCCACCTGCGGCAAGGACACACGATCACAGTTTTCTGAAAAGGGGGCAACAGAGAGGAGGCGACACTTACTCTTCCCCACGGTCTGCCTTGTGACAAATTAGCTTCTTTTTCTTATTTTAAGCAATTGCTTATTAACTATAGTTGCCACTCGGCCTGTAATTTCAAAGGGCAAAACCACAATCATCTGTTTTAAATGTAAAGGGGGAAAAACTCATGCTCCAAACTAATCCGAGTGATATGAGAGACACACTTGAAACCTCTTTTACCTGAAACCATAACAATCCTAGAAAACACAGGCGGTAAGCTCCTTGACGTCAGTCTTGACAATAATTTTTTGGATATGACACCCCAAGGCACGGGCAACAAAAGCAAAAATAAACAAGTGGGAGCACATCATACTAAAAAGCTTCTGCACAGCGAAGGAAACCAAATGAAAAGGCAGCCTACTGGATGAGAGAAAATACTTGTAAATCATATATCTGATAATCGAGGGTTAATATGCAAAATATATAAAGGACTTATATAACCCAATAGAAAAAAAAATCAAACATTCTGCCAAATGAAAAAAGTCAGAGGAAGAGAAACACCGTGTGATCTAACTCATGTGTGGAATCTGAAAACAAAACATCCCCAGAACAAACTCATGGACGCAGGGAACAGACTTGTGTTTGCCAGAGGCAGTAGGAGGGGGTGGGAGAAAGGGGTAAAGGTGGTGAAAAGGTACAAACACCAGTTAAAAAATAAGTATGTCCTGGGGATGTGATGGACAGCGTGGCAAAGACAGTGAACATGCTGCTGTGTGATTCAAAGGTGCTGAGGGACTAGGTCTTTGTAGTTCACGTCACTGTATGAGGCGTGGATGCTAACCACGCTTACGAGGGTGGTCAATGTGCAGTCAGCACATACACACACATGTGTGAAGTCACTGTGCTGCACACCTTAAACTTACATGGTGTTGTATGTCGTTTACATCTCAATGAAGCTGGGAAAAAATAAAGCTTCCCTGTTTTCATTTTAATGTTCGTGATTACGGTGTCACGTGACGAGAAGCTACAGTTTGTTGGGCTTTATTCGATATAGGGGCTCCCTGTATTTCTGGCATTCAGTTTAAAGGCAGCGCCGGCAGCACCGCGTTAACCCTGCTCGGAGTTGGATAGAGATACTGCTATCATCGACTAAACACCAGTGTGTGCCACGATTTGCACGCACGGCAGGTAAATCGTTATCATCTCCATTTTACAGACTGAGGCTCAGCCAGGATGCTGCCTCAGGTGTGGAGAGCGAGTCACCACGCGCGGGGGGGTCTCCGCGATCGGATCATCTGCGAGCCCGCGTTGACGCGGGGATCCCACAGGCCCTGGGCCCCGCCCGGCACCCCGGCTCCCCGCAGCCCCCAGGTCGCCTACCGTGCCTCCGGGCCTCCGCCATGCGGGTCTCGCGACCCCCGACCTCCGCCGGCCCGCGTTTCCCGCGCCGCTTCCGGATCCGCCCCCGCAGGCGTGCCCAATCCGGATCCAGGGTCTCGGCCTCTGGGTGCCAATCAGCCGCGCCCGCCTCGGATTGGCTTTTACGGGACTCGTGGGCGTGGCCTCCGGGCGCGTTTGCTCCGCGCATGCTCAGAGGAAAGTAACTGACTCCCGGGTGCCCCGGGACCCGGGCGGAGGGGTCAGCGGGAGGGGTCAGCGGGAGGGGGTTGGGGGTTGCCGGTCATGGGGAAAGGAGGTCAGCGGGAGGACGTCTTGGGGAGAGGGTCATGGGGGTTAGGAGGAGGAGGGGTCAGCGGGGCGGGGTTGTGCCCCTGATGTCCGCCCACGGTGTGGGCGCCCTTGGTCCCAGCGCCACGCATCACAGAGGAGCGCGGGGTGGGAACGGTGGGAGCGGGGTCTGCTTGGCACCCACCCGCGCCAGGCAGCCAAAAGTGCCTCAGAAGTTGGGGCGAAGGGGGAAAGGAGACTGGGAGAAAGAGCCGGGGGACGGACCTCGGGAGACGGCGCCCTTGTCCCTCTGACCCGGCGTCCTGCCTGCACCGAGGCCCTTCTTCCCGCGGTCCACCTGCGCCAGGTGCACGTCTTCCTTTCGCCCTCTCCGGGACCTTGGTTTGTCGTTGACCTCCCTTCCCCGGCGCTTGTCTTGGGAAGCGTGTTTCTGAGAGGCTGTCCGCCGGGCATGTCGTAGATGCCGGGGGTCTGATGCGGGGGCGGGGGCGCCTGTGTGAATGGCCTGATGAGAGTATGCAGTGAGAGAGACAGCACGTCCCCTGGGACTCTGGGAGAAAAAGAGAGCAGGAAGGGTGTTCTAAGTGGGAGGCGGGGTGGCCTCAGGGTCGTAATCTGAGTCAGGTCTGAAGCAGAGGGAGCAGGACTTGGTGATATCAAGGCAAAGAACCATTGAGTGGAAGCACAAGGGACAGCAGATGTTCCCCAGCCCCCCGAGTGAAGTGTCTGGGGAGCAGCGCCAAGGCCAGTGTGCCTGGAGCACAGTGACCGGTGAGTAAGGGGAGAGTGACAGACGTGTTCAGTGTCGGGGCCAGCTCAGGAGGGGAGTGTGCCAACTTCGTGTTCCAGGGAGCAAGACGGAACATCACGGGCTGGTTTTGAGTAGTGAAATTGCTTGACATCTTCAAACTGTCCCTGGAGCCGCTGTGCTGAGAGTAGATTTCAGACGTGGGTGGAGGAAGCATGGCGACCAGTTTGACACCACTGCAACACGAGCGTCAGGGCGGCAGCATGGGCGGCTGTGAGAAGGAGTTCTGGATATATCTGAAGACAAAGCAAAAGAGATTTCTGACTGACCGGGCGTGGGCTGGAATGGCTCCCGGCGTGTGGTCTGGCCGCTGGACGGCTAGAGTTGCAGCGAGGACGCGACGAGCCTCCGGGAGGGCCCTTCGTCGGGGCGGTGTGCAGTGTTAGGCATGCCAAGTTTGAGGTGCTCATTAGACATGTACATCCAGGCATCCACTAAGCAGTGGGATCTCATTTTAGAGTTCAGGTAAAAGGCCTGAGACAGAGACCTGTAACTGGGTCTGTCTGCATGCAGGTGGCATTTAGAGCTATAAGAGGCAGTGACCGTAGACAGAGAAGTGACACAAGGAGTGAGCTCTGAGGTGCTCTCGCTTCTGGAAAGTGGGGTGGTGAGGGGGTCCCAGCTATGACACGTGTGCGGGATTGGGCCGGGAAGAAAGGGAAGGACAGAGAGCTGTCCTGAAGCCAAGTCAAAGAAGCGATCATTTGTCTCAGACGATGTTGATGGCCAAAGACCTTAACAAAGATATGCAGACGGTGAGTGAGTCTGAGGAAGGACGCCCCTCATCGCATGTCACGGAGAAACGCAAAGTGAACCGACACACACACCACCTCTGCTCCCCTCTGAGAACGACCAGCTCTGGGAGGACATGCGACAGCAGGCCCCCACTGGGCGCTGGCCTCAGTGCACACAGTGCAGCCACGCTGGGGGACGGTTCGGCGGTTTCTTACAAAACTCTACATACTCTCACTATGTGACCCAGCAGTCCCACTCCATGGCATTGACCCAGATGAGGTGAAACCTGTGTCCACACAAAACCTGCACACGGCGTTCACAGCAGCTTCATTCACAACCACGGAAATGTGGAAGCCACCCAGACGCCCTTCAGCAGGTGAATGGTAAACTGTGGTCCAGCCAGACAATGTTATTTAGTGCTAAAAGGAAATGAGCTGTCAAGCCATGAAAACATGAAAACCTTAAATGCATATGACTAAGTGAAAAGTCCATCCGAGCAGGCTACACACTGATCCCACCTGTGTGACGTCCCAGAAAAGGCAAAATATAGAGGCAGAAACAGGATCAGGGGTTTCCAGGGGTTGGGGGAGGGGTGAATAGGGGGAGCACAGGGGGTGTTTAGGGCAGTGACACTACTCCGTGTGATACTGTAAGGGTGGACACGTGTCATTGGACATTTGTCCAAATACACAGGCACAACACCGAGAGGGCCCCTGATGCGAACTTTGGGCTGGGTGATGACGACAAGCCAGCGCGGGCTCGCCGTAACACGTGTCTCATCTGCCGGGGTGTCGGTGCGGGGAGCGTGGGGGGCGCGTGTGTGGGAACTCTGTGGCTTCTTATCAGTTTTGCGGTGAATCTAAAACTGCTCTAAAAAATAAAGTGTATGTTTTAAAAGTGAATGCAGGGGAGAGGGAATGCATGTGAACGGTGCCGCCGGCTGGGCGGCACCCACGCTCGCCATTGTCCCCTTCGCCATTCCCACCAGTGTCTGGCCTGACAGCGAAACCTCCTCGAGCCCTCGCGCTGGCACCTCTTTCACACCCGAACTTCCTGAAAGAGTCGATGACAAAGTCAGTCTCTACTTTGTCATTTCCAGCTGGTTCTGTTTCCCCGAGTCTTCTGTGTGCACACGTGCTGTAACTGTTCCTGCTAAAGTCACAAGGCCCTCCACGTCAGCACTGTTGGTGCCCGTGCACCCCTCGGTGTCTCCTTCCCCTCCCCCATGCCCCATCCAGAAAACGACCCCCAGCGTCTCCCCCTGCAACAGCACACACCTCTCCTGTCTGGCTCATCCTCGCTCGCTAGGCTTTCTCCAGGCTCTTCGAAGTCCATCTCCCCAGCCCCTCACTTGCTCGCTCATTTCCAACCACCTCTGTCTCTCCTCAGAGTGGCCAAGACAATCTTCCAGGAATCTCCTTGCCATTCAAAAGTCAGTGCATGTAATGCATCACATGTACAAGCTAAAGATGAAAAATGACAGGATCGTGTCAACGGGGGCAGAAAAAGCATTTGACAAAATGCAACAAAATTCAAAGTTCTCTATAAAAACACGAAACTGGGAAGCGAGGCTTCTTCAACTTGGTAAAGAACAGCTACCAAAGCCCACATGGCAGCTTTTTCCATGGTGCTCAGCGGTGGGAACTGACGCTCCCACCCACAGGGTGACAAGGCAAGGACACCCCTCATGCCACACGTGTCCCACAGGGCACTGGAAGTCCCAGGGAATGCAGTCAGACCAGAAAAGGAAAAGCGGGTGGACAGATTGGGAAGGCAGAGGTAACACTGTCCACAAATGGCACGACTGTCTACATAGAACATCTCGATTGCCTGCTCGGAGTCCTGTGCCAGATGCCATCGTATCTAGGGTGTGATTCAGAGCCCCGAGTGTCCCGTGACGGCCTGAGCCGCTCTCCGGCTGTCGGAGCTGCTGTCGCCCTTGCTCCCCTCATCCTGGTTACGCCCATCGTTCCCAGCACCCTATCTTTCCAGCACCCTCAGCCTTCAGCCCCCCTTCCTCCTGCCCAGAGCCCCGCCCCACCCCGCCCCACCCCACTCTTCTTGCCTGAATCCCATTCCTTCTCCGGGGCGCTGGCAGATGGAGACATCTGACTTCCTTCTGGTGCTGCGATAGTTCCCGTCCTCACTGCTGGCACCTCAAATCCTGCTGGCCAGCCTCCGGCTGTCTGTGAAGCAGTGGGACTTGCTCAGCCAGGGGAACCTGGGCTGGGAGCAGAGGGGAAGCGACCATCAGTCACTGGGGCTGGAAGTCGGCCCCAAGTCCAGCCTTCAGGGTGCCTTTCCCACGGTTCCTTCTGGGCCCAGCCAGCCTGAGCCCCATGTCTGCAGGGGCGGCCAGCTTGATACTGCATCCCAGGACCGTTTCCTCCCTCCAGCTTCCTGGACCAACCTCCCAAACTACCTGCACCCAAGTCCAGCCTGAGGAAAAGCTCTGACTTCATCATGACTTCCCCGCAGTCTCCTGAGACCACAAGCCATATCCGTCGCCCTGCTAACACTCTCCACTGTCGCCTACATCTGTCCTTCAGAGGAACAGCTGTGATTATACCTTACTGTGTCACTTCGCAAAGTGACACTCCATGGGCCAGTGGCTGCTTCTCTGTGTCTTCTGCTCACACACTGAGAGCATGTGACAGGCACTCAGTGCATTGGGGTGACTTGTGGTGTTGCTGTAGCATGGTGAATGCGTGAACCTCAAGAAGAAGAAAGAAGGGAAGGAAAGGGAAACCAGATTTTAAAGTGAAAAAGTGGATCTGGAATCCAGAGTTTGGGTTTTGGTTCAGCACACACGATTCATTGGTTTCTGACAGTGGAGACAAAGCTGAAGACATTTAATGGCGGGCAGGCTCCTTCGCTTCGTCTCGTACCCATTCCCCTCAGGATTTTCAAACTCTTCCGTGAAAATGAACTGCAACCGATACACATGACCGATTCATTATACGGAGAAGTCTTGAGGAGACAGCAAGGGCTTTTGATTAAAGACCTTAGACTTTTTGGAAAAGATTGTTTTGTCCCATTCCAAATAGTTTGATAGCCTGATTTTTTCCCTTGCTCTAATCCCTAAACATTTCCCCATAACATTCCATCTTGGCGTTTTTGCTTTTTCCATCACCTTTCTCGTCCTTTACCTCATTGAAACTTCACCATGGCTCAGTCAGAGATGTGGAAAAGTCCTTTCTCCCAGTCGCATTCAAAACGGGGCTACCCGAGTGGCCCAAGGTCTGGTGACTGCATAATGGAGCCGGGAATACAAGCGGTCTCAGGCCGTCACTCAGGCCGCAGCGACTTCCCTCCCCCACCGGCAGTCCGATCCTGGAAGGGCATTCCCATGAATT